TATATATACGCTATAGTGTGTTTACGGATGATTTTCATGTGTTTCTGTGACAACTCCAAGTGATGTTGGATTTACCGCACGTTTTTTTCCGTGTAAAATAAGAATCACTTAATCAAAAAAAAATAAATCTCGTGAAATGTAATTAATTAAATACCACAGTTGTGTGAAAAAAAATTACTCCAATATTATTGGCATTATTCCTATAATATTATGGGAATCATGCCGATATTACAGTTATAATTATAGGTATCGTTCCTATAATTATAGGAACCATTCCCATAATTATAGTAACGTTTCCCAAAAATTATGGGTATAATTCCTATAATTTAAGTAATCGCTCCTAAAATGGTATAGGAAAATATTTCATTAAAATTATAGGAATGATTTCCATATTTTTCTCTCCGTGTAATTAACTCAGGACTTAGTTCAGCTGAACAGGCTTAACAATGAACCCTGATTAAGCCTTTATGATTTGTGATTAGAGCGCGCGCGCAAAACGCGCAATTTAACTTTATAGTATCTTATTATTATTATTAAGAAAAGATAAAATATTTTATAATTTGCAGCTGATAGTATTTTTATTTCTTTTTTAAAAAAAAAGATTTATTATTTATTTAGATAAGTAAGAAATATTTGTGATAAATATGGTTCTATAATTTCGTGGCTGTCAAAAATCATCATCGGCATGAGCTTTGATACTTTCTTGCTCCATTTGTTAGACTCTTTTTCGCTGACCAAATATATGTTCGTCGCTGACAACTAATAGATAAAAAAAATATTTTAGTATTTATTTTATAAATAAATTTTTTATAGATAATAAAATTATTACACTGATAAAAAATTAACTTGATATAATTTTGAAGACTTGAAATTTTGAATAATTTTTAAGTTCAAAAATTTTTCTCTAAAATCAAATAAATTTTTTTAATAAATATATATTTACTTTAAAAATTCCTGGTATTATTTTGAGCGCAAGTGACTTGAAATAAATTCCATTACGTTTTAAATAAGTCCGTGAAGATATTTGAGCTTTAGATAAAACTCTCAAATCTGTTATTGTCAAACTTGAAAAAAAAATAAATTAAATCATTAATGCCTTAATCTAATCTAATATTATTAAATTTTATTTTTTTATTACTTGTACTGTCCTTTACCGATGATATCGTTTTCCAGGTGACGAAGATTAACATCGTAAGATCCGTTGATAGTTAAAGTTGGAAAATTTAATCCAAAAATAATATTTTCTTTGTGATCACCATTGCAATACATTATATCATAATTTGATAAATTATTTATATTTAAATCGCTAAAATTGGCTTTTACTCTAAAGTTAAAAAAAAAATTTATTAATCATTTCTTCAATTTATTTTTAATTAAAATAAATAAATCTGAAGTTTAATATTAAATTATGATTTATTTAATTACAAAAATTTAGTATCGTTGTATTGAATTGTAATTTGATTTTCTTCTTTATAAGGATCAAGTATTGAATTTTTTGTCCTCATAAAATTTCTCAAATAATATTCCAAATAATCCCAAACTAAATGGTCATATTTTTCAATATCGATATCTAAAAAATAAAATATATAATTACAACAAAAATATTTATTAAAATAAAATTAACTGATTAAAAAGATAAAGAAAATATTTTACGATTCAGATCTTGAGATGGCAAACAAATCACTTGGCTTAAAATTGTTGCAAAAATAATCACTCTCATCTTCAATTATCTCTTTAAATAATAAGATACGATTATTATAAAATAAAATACAGAAATAAATAATTTATTTTAAAAACTATCTCTTTATACTCTATTATTATTATTATTATTATTATTATTATTAATATCAATAAATTTTTGAGATAAAATAAAAATTTAAATAATCTAAATCACAGCTATTATATCAAAATAATTGAAAAATATTATCTGGTATCACACACTTATATAAATAGATTATTGTTTATCGCTAAATCAAGTATACTTTGTTCTCCAATAATCCTTGTATATAATTTTTTATTTTAAAATCAATAATAATAATAGTAATTAATAATAATAAAATATATTTATTTATTATACCTACCTTTAATCCTAGTAATCTTTATCTTTGATCTAGGACCTAGGATTTAGGACCTAGAGTCTATTTTATTTTATTTTTTGTCACCAGTAATCTCTGAAAAGTATATACGTTATATAACTTTGAAATATATTGGTGGTTTGTAGCGTCTAGCGGTAGTTACATTTCAAAGTTGTAAGCCGGTTTTTGATTACCATCTCTCCAATAGAAACTTTTCCTAATATTTTTTGTCTGTATATAATAATAATAATAATAACAACAAAAGTCCAAGGCCGTGGATTGTAAAGTTATGTAATCAAGAAATACTATTGTATTATAGTATGTTATCCTAATACTTATGACAACTTTAGATTATTTTATTGAAATTAATAGTAATAATCTATATTATTAAGAGAATAAGAAAAATTTTGTCTACAGGGTAGTCATACGATAAAATCGGTTTTTTTTTTATTGAAATTTAGTGTCATTGCAAAGGTCTTGACTTGAATTTATTCCTTTTTAAAGTTTCATAACATTCTCACTGATAATCAATTTTATTATGATAAGTATTTAGGCTGCATTCGAAAATTCTCTCTCTCTAGATACATAATTAAGAAATGACCTTGTATCTCGTGAACTATTGACATTTTTAAAGATATAAGCTCATCCCGATGTTACACTCATCGAGACCTCTCATTTGAATACCCACATCATTTTTTTATATATTTTATATATTTATATAATTTTCACAAATACCATATATATTTTATATATATATAAAATATATAAAAAATGCCATGTGGGTACTTAAATGAAAAGTCTAGATGAGTGTAACATCCAAAAGAGATTATATCTTTAAAAATGTCTATAATTAAGAAATGACATCGTATCTTGTCAACTAATGATATTTTTAAAGATATAAGTTCACTCCAACATTACACACTCATCGAGACTTTTCATTTGAGTACCCACATCAATTTTTCATATATTTTATATATATCTATATATGAAAAATATATAAAAATGCATGTGGGTACTCAAATGAAAACTCTTGATGAGTATAACATCGGGATGAACTTATGTATTAAAATATGTCAATATTTAAGAAAGTACAGTGCAATTTAACAAAAATCATTATTTAACAAAGCAAAATTTTATACTTTGTAGTTTTCACAAGTCACGGCAGTCACATAGTGACTGCAACGTTGCTGGTTAGTTTTTTATTAGTGATTTTTTGTATTACCGTCTTCTTATCCATGATTGAAATAATTTTTTTTTAAATATTTTATTATTAAAAAATTTCAAGTAAATTATAATAACAATAATAATAATAAATTTAAAAAAATTATTACCAAATATAAATATAAGTATTTAACTGTCATACACTATAAACATTATAATTATTATTAAATTAGCATAGTACTTAACACTTTTACATTGAAAGTTGTAACTTTTCTTTGTAAAATTACCAAGCGCGTTAAATAACAATAAATAAAAATATTTTCTGCACTAATAGACACAAAACACAACTGTCAATTTCTTGAGAGCAATAGTAAATAATTCTAAAAAAAAAAAATTTTTCTACTCGATAAATATAGGTCAAAAGTCGAGATTTTAATATTTATCTATCATGATTCATAGTCATTTATCAAGCTAGTGTATATTTTGTTAATAATTGTAGAAATTAAAAAATTTTTTTTCAATTATTTTTTGGAATAGAATGGAATGGTCAAGTGACTTAATAACTTCAATTTCATCAATAATCAATACTATTGTTATTATTATTTTAAAAATAAATTATTTTAAAAAACATACGATGAAAAAATCTTATAAAAAAAATTTTAAATTAACAAGATTTGCGCGCATGCGCAAAACTTAGTAATATTTTTCTACACCAGAGTTCACTGCAGTCACTATCAGAAAAAATAATAATAAGCATTTGGTCTCGTAGTAATAATATTTGGAGGTTTGTTTTGAAAAATTATTAATAATTATATTAAATTAATAAAAATATATACATTTGTTCATTTATTAGCGAAGAAAAATGTGGTGGGAATGCATACCATCGGGTGCTATAATTGTCATCTGTTTGTCACTACCACAGTACTCAGCTTGGTACTTCAACAAAGCCGTTTATGGAAATGTAAGTTTTTGTTTATTATAATATTAACTTATAAATAATTTAATTATTAATTACAATTATTTATACTTGCTGTAAATTATTTTCATGATTTACAAACAAAAATATGTATCCATTTCAGTATATTGATTAATTGAGTAATTAAAAAATTAGTTCTTTTGTTACGTCACTGACTTTTGGTTATACAAATTACAAATATTTAATAATAAATTTTAATATTTTATTAATATTATTGACAAATTTTGAATTTTATTTAACAATTAAATTTATTAAATAAAATTAATGAAAATAAAGTTAGCCGACATCTAAAAAATTTTATGATTTTTTATATTAAAGAATTATTAGAAAAAAAATAAAAAAAAATTTTTCATTTGTTAAAAACTTCATAAACAATAAGTGTAATTTTTTAAAAATATTTTTTAGTTATAATTTAATAAATAAGCAAAATAAAAAATGTCGGCTAACTTTATTATTATATAAAATTATTGTTAAAAAATTGCATTTTTAATTTTTAAAAATTCCTACATGTCAATTTTTTTGCCATAATTAACTTGTTACAAAAATTCTTAAAATGATAGAATTTTTGTTAAATTAATTTTTATATTATTATTATTATTTATTATTATGTTTATATTACAGCATTATAGAAGACAATTGGATTCTACTTTTGATCGAAACATGTTTAGCAGAGATTCAAGAGTTGGAGGTGCTCCGTGGGTTCTTAAGGTAAGTTATAAAATAAATAAATTTTTGTATTAAAATTAATGAAACTGAAATTAAGGTAAAGTACCCAGTACTTGAACACTGATAAAAATAGGATCAGTACTTGAACAGACTTCTCGAATTGTTATAATGGAAAATGAATAAATTTATTATGAGTAATATGCGCATATTATAATTATTAAATGATACACTAATTGATTTCTGTAAGTTTTTTCAATTTTAAATCAAATGAATTATATTTTTATTAACTTAAGGGGGTATTCTGGTCTAGAAGCCTACATTTTAGGCATTTTTCAAACTAACATAAAAAAAAAAAGGAAAAACATTTTTACTATCCGTTTTTTGATATGATGTTTATTGACATTTCAAGAATATAAAAAGAAAAAATTGAAAAAAAAAAAAAAGAGAAATTCGAAAAATTACAGGTCGGTTAAGCGGGGGGCTACAAAAAAAAAACGGTGCACCCTGGTTGACATGATTCTAGCCCTTGTAGTGATCTGAAACAAAAAAATTTGAAAAATTTTCAATAAGTGAAGATGTCGCTATCGCGTTAACCTTAGCAAAAAAAAAAAAAAATAGCGCCGACATAAAATATCAATTTTTTTTTTTACCTTTTTGAATTTTTTAAAAATACTCCAAATTGAAATTTTTTAAAATCCAAAGCAGACGCGATAGAGAGATATATAAAGAAAATTCCCACTAAATTTCAAAGGAATCGGTTGCGTAGAACTTGAGATATCATGTCAACCACTTCAAAAAAAGTAGTTTCGAGAAAAACGCGTTTAAAGTTTGAGAAAAAATTCTAGTAAAATAACTCGGATAATAATATTTAATATTTACTTTGGATTAATCGGTGATCCCAGATCCATGCATTGGGCCTTCTTCTTCTTCATACTCGATGTTTTGCGAAGTTCATTCTGCTAATTGAGCTGTTCTGCCTTCTTTTGAAGAAGCAGAAGCTCGCAGTTGTGTGACTCGCTCCGATCAGCCGGCTTAGATGCTGCGTCACAAAATCTACTGTATTTCCGAAAATAATTCGAATTTTGAAAAATCCAATTAAGGACATGTTCTAAGGGTCTAAACTTTGAAAATATGCCAATAAAAAAATCAATTTTTTCAAATTTCTCGACCAGAATACCCCTTTAAAAGTTGACATGTCGAGAATCGCCGATAGATGCTATTTTTTTTCATGAAAAAGGTACTAAATTGTAAACCGAACAATCAGTAAAAAAAACGGTATATCATCATTTTAAGTACAAAAAATTGTACTATCTAATGAAATAGTCTTTTCTAAATAACATATATTTTTTGCAAAGACATAAACTAGAATTTTTATATTAAATTTTAGCGTTCAACTATACCTTCAAATTTTGAAAGCGGTACCTAGAACTTGAACAGACTGGGGCCGTATAATTTTAACAGCACTGTAACCTCTAATAGGTTTATAGACTAGTGATCAGCATTGTGATTTGCATTAATTACTGCAATTTAAATAAATTTTGAGACTAATAATTAGTGTAGTTAAAAATTATTGAACGTTTTGAATTGAGTTTTTTTTATTTATAATTGAACATTTGCTTTGTCATGCATACAAAATGTAATTAAAAAATTAAATACAAATATTTCTCATTTTTAAATCAACATATTAAATATTCACAGTATTATTTTTAATATTATTCAATATGTTATACTTATTTTGATATTTCAATAAAACGTTGAAAATTTTTAGTGTGCCTATTGCTATATATTTTATTAATTCAACTACTGGTCCTTTCATAGTCTATTTGAAAAACGTCAAAATATAAATAATCAATTATCTGGGTTATTTTGCGCTTCAATGAATTCAAAATTGTTTATATTTTCATGAAAATCACTAATTTGAACTAATAATTACATCTATATATATTAAAAGTAGGGTCAAATAAGTTTTACTTTGAAACCTGTTCAACTACTGAGTACGTTACCTTAATAGACATTTGTCAATTTTTTGGATTTTTATAGTAACTAAATTATTAAAAAATTACACATCCAATTTTTTATAATTTATTTGTAAAAAAAATGTCTAAATATCTGCTGGATTTAGTTATTTTATAACACTGAAATTAACAGGCGGTAATTTTTAGATTTTAATTGAGAGAAAATTGATTTATAATTTTTCAATTTTTTTAATGTAGAATTTTATTTAAAAAAATTTTTTTTGCATAATTTATTTGTTAAAAAAATCCTAAAAATGATCAAATGTTCAACAGTGTAATTATAATTTTTTAAAATAATATATTAATAATAATGAATAAATTAAATATTTTTCAGGGACTAGACTGCCTCCCAGATGAATAATTAGATCGCTAAAATAAAATCTAAACTTTCATATAGACAACTTGTAAATTAAAATTAATTATTGCGATATGTATAATTTAAATATCATCGTAATAAAAATCTAAATAATTAATTTCAAATATTTATTCAATTTAATTACTATCTCACAAATAAATTCTTAATTATAACAATATTAATTAAATTAAAAATATTATTTCTGCAGTTCAATTTTTTTAGTTGTAGAAAAAATGTATAAAAATAAAAATTTATGATTAATTATTAAATTAACCAATTAATTGGAGTAAATCTTCCCAAGTTATACCTTCTAGCTTTTCATTAGCCATATCAATTATTTTCTCAGAAGCCATCGCCGTTATATTGTCATGATAATAAACAGTTACTATTTCCGGTAATACATCTGATATTACTTGGCTCAATACTATCGATGTACTGTTGTTACAGAAGATTCCCGTTCCACTAAACTATTAATTAGAAATTTTATTAAAATTTGAACAATTAATTATTTAAAAAAAAATTAATCATTACTTCTATTTTTTCAAGTGAAAGTTTAAGATCCAATGATTTTATGCGAACACCGCCAGAAACTGATATAGTTGATACAGCAGAAATTGAAAAATTTGTTGCAACAAATCTAAAACAATTTCATATCATCTATATTATTAAGGGGGTATTCTAGTCTAGAAGCATGAATTTCAGGGAATTTTTTGAAGTGCCGTAAAAAAAGGCCATCAATATTTTTAGTATCTATTTTTTTATAAGTTATTTATTAACATTACAAGAATACAGAAAAAAATTAGCAGCTGATGAAGTGGAGGGGGGGGGGGTCTCAAAAAAGTGGCACGTGACCATGGCCACGATTCCAACCCTCCTAGTAATCGGAAATAAAGAAATAAAAAAGATTATTAATCTAGAGTAATGTCGCTAGGGCATAAACTAGGGAAAAGTTGAAAAAAAAATTTTTCACATAACGGCGAAGATTATTAATCTAGAGTAATGTCGCTAGGGCATAAACTAGGGAAAAGTTGAAAAAAAAATTTTTCACATAACGGCGACTGCTTGAAAAAAAAAAATATTTTTTGTACTACTTTTTTTTACTTTTTCGAATTTTTAAAAAATAGTAAAAATTGAAATTTGGGAATGACCGTAGTTCATGCCATAGCAACATCACTTTAGATTAATAATCTTTTTTATTTCCGATTGCTAAGAGGGTTGGAATCGGGGCATGGTCACGTGTCAATTTTTTAAGACCCCCCCATTTCATCAGCTGCTAATTTTTTGAATTTTCAACTTTTTTTATTTTTTTTTTGTATTCTTGTAATGTTAATAAATAACTTATAAAAAAATGGATGGTAAAAATATTGATTGCCTATTTTTTACGGCACTTCAAAAAATTACCTGAAATTCATGCTTCTAGGCTAGAATACCACCTTAAGAGAATAAGTAAAATTTTGTGGCCAAAATATTTATATGATAAAATGGGTTTTTATGGTTAAATTCGGTATCGTTGGAAAAGTCTTAACCTGGAGTTATGCCTTTTCATGGTTTCATATCGTTCTCACCAATAGTCAATTTATGATGATGAGTATTTAGGCTGCATTCGAAAATTATCTCTAGATAGATAATTAAGAAATTACCTTGTACCTCGTGAACTATTGACATTTTTAAAGATATAAGCTCATCTTGATGTTACACTCATCAAAACCTTTCATTTAACCACCCACATCATTTTTTCATATATTTATATATATTATATATCGCGTTACTAAAACCATAAGGGCGTATAAAAAATTTTTTTTTTGCTCCAACCAATGTAAAAATATTGGAAACACTAACATCTATGGAAAAAACGAAAAAAAATTTTTTTTGTAATTGTAAATTTTTTGTAAAAATTTTTCTAAAACTATAAGGGCGTATCCTGTTTTTCGGTTTATTATCAATTATAGGTCAGAGTAAGAAAAAAAATTGCAAAAGTAATAGAAATTATCACTCCACAACTTAATTGATATCAAGAAATATTTATTTAAGTAAAAAAACGAATGAAAAATTACGAAAAAATAAATTTATAACAACTTGAAAACAAGCGGTATGTCTTCAAATTAATAAGTTTAGCCTCCGAGTTTTTCTAAATTGATTTTTTTTTACTTCAGATGTATTTACAATGAACAAAAAAATTTTGTAAGCCATTTAGAATTGTAATTTCAAAAAAGTCATTCAAAAAGAACTTTATTTCTGAGAATCGTTATGATTTATGATTCTTTAATACCAATATCTTGAAGCAAGTTTGATGACCTAAATCATTTCTGTACATCAGGCACCGTCCGACAAAATGTCATCGGTATTATCAAAGTTTAATGTTCAACCATGGTCATAGTTGATGAATTTTTTTATTATTATCAAGTTATATTAAAAAAAATTAAAAAATCGTTTTTTTTTTTTTTTATAATCTTGGACACAGATGATCCTGACAATGGCATTGGACAATACCCTGATGAATTTATTTTTTTTTTTTGGCAGAACCATAAGGGCGTATATTTTGAGATATGCTCTTATGGTTTTAGTAACGCGATATATATATATTATATATATTATATATGTATATATGAAAAATATGTCAAAATGCATGTGGGTACTCCAATAAAAGCTCTTGATGAGTGTAACATCGGGGTGAGTTTATATATCTTTAAAAATTTCAATATTAAGAAATGACCTTGTATCTTGTGAACTATTGACATTTTTAAAGATATAAGCTCATCCCGA